TATATCGAAAGCCTGCGGTAAGTGTCCAAAACTTCAAAAACATTGGTACAGCTGTTCGCGAGATCACCTCTTATAAAAAGAAGGAGCTTCTTTTTATATAATTAGTATAGATAACACAGGGCAACACTGATTTTGATGCGGTAAGTCTTAAAGCCGCCGCGAGTTCTAGCTTTAATTTAAGCCTTAGTAAAAGGTTCTATCACCTTTTGTTTCCTTGCTAGAGCTTCTTAAATATTGCAAAAGCCGCGAATTTTTGACACTATAACCACGTTTTTCTCAAAATCTAGAGCTGATGGAAACTTTATACTTACGGATTCGAAATCAGCACAAAAAAGTCTATCTATTTTTGTTGGCCAGTGTAATAAGCAGGGAACGGATTTTTAGGACCTAAAAACCTATAAAAAAGGCAAAATAAAGTAACGAAATAGGCTGGAAAAGGCAAAATAAAATAGCGAAAAAGGCAGGAAAAGGCACTAGGTATTGTAAAAAAGGCAAAAAAAGGCAAAATAAAATAGCGAAAAAGGCAGGAAAAGGCAAAAAAAAAGGTATTGCAAAAAAAGCAAAATAAGGCACTAAAAAAGACAGAAAATACGAAGAACAATCAAAAAATATATTTTTTTAGAAATGTTTATATTACAAGTAAAAAGAGAAAAACTATGAACTAGTTTCATTATATGAAAAATTTGTACTTTGAATCTTTGACTATTTTATCCTTTCGAGTTTCTAACTCATAAAACTTTAATCTGTGTAGTTGTAGTAACATTGAACCACAAGATGCATTTTGAAGTTTTCTGGCAGCATTTTGATTCGATTTTCGCGAAGAAAAGCCTTGAATGTACTAAATGTGCGATCGACGTAAGTTGATACAAGGGAGCCCAATTTACATATGAAACGTTTGAAACGTTCATATTATCAGGAATAAGGGCGTTTTCCTCTACCTTTACAATTTTATCCACACCCCTTATTGTCTTCAAGCCTACGTTAGCTGAGAAAACGGCTTTGAATTTTTTCAACACAAATTTGGCAAGAGGTCCCTGCGCTTCTATAAGCCGCATGGGCATGTGTATATTTTTTAATCTTAAAAAAAAAAAATTGTAAATGCTATAAATGGATAACACTGTAGGCTCCTTTTTTACGTTATGTTGACCAGGGACCGATCTATTCGAAAAAATCTTATTTCCGATATTGGCTATTTAACAATACTTATTAGTAATATATATATATATATATAATTTATAACCATGGCCAAATAAAAAAAATAATCTCTGCAATAAACAAAGCTCGGTAATTCCCCGAATTCAGTAAAGAGAGGCAACCGTCTCTGCGACAGAAAATTTCTGTATACTTAAACAAAGTTCATTGTTTCACCGAAATCTGTGAAGACAGGCAATCAGCTTCGTGTCGGTTCATTGGGTTTTGATCTGTGTTTTGTTCACTTTAAGAAAAATGTCGGCACGGAAAAACGTACACATGAAAAGTATACGATTTTGTTTATACATTTACATTATTTCTTTATTATTTAAAAATATTATATTCTAATAAAATGGACACTCGAGTTCGTTATAACCGGATTGCACTGCATATGCTAATCTAGTGAAAAGACTACCTACGTTCCAAATTTCAAGCAAATCGGACCATAAATAACATTTTTCGAATATATCGTTCCCTGGTCCACCTTCCGGAAAAAGTAAATTTTTTCCCTTGACATGGTGGTTGCTGAAAGCTATTTATAAACAAAATTTCATGAAAACCGGACCTGCCGTTCGCGAGATTACCTGTTACAAAAAAGGGACTTTTCTTTATATAATTAGTATATGTAGATAGATAAGATAACATATTGCATGGAACTGAATTTGCCATAACTCGACTTTTGAGGCACCTATCGGGTCTATTTGAGGCAGGTTGATTTATGTTTATGCACTGAATATATTTTCCGCGTTTGAAGCAAATCGGACCATAAATGCGATTGTTTAGCGTAGCCCTACCCCTCCACCACCTATCGGAAAAATGAAAACTTTGGGCCCTCCTCCATCTAAACACTTTTCCAACAAAGCAACAACCATTCGAATCGGTTAAGAGACATAGGAGAAAATCGTTCGGTAATTCCCCGATTTTAGAAAAGAGAGGCAACCGTCTCCGCGGCAGAAAATGTCTATATACTTAAACAAAGTTCATTGGTTCACCGAAATCTGTCAAAATAGGCAATCAGCTTCGTGACGGTTCATTGGGTTCTGATCTGTGTTTTGTTCACTTTAAGAAAAATGTAGGAATCGAAAAACGGGTATTAACCTTGCATCAAAAGTATACGATTTTGTACTTATACATTTACATTATTTCTTTATTTTTTAAAAATATTATATTCTAATAAAATGGACACTCGAATTCGTTATAACCGGATTGCACTGTATATGCTAATCTAGTGAAAAGGCTACCTACGTACCAAATTTCAAGCAAACCGGACAATAAATACGAGCTTTCGAATATATCGTTCCCTGGTCCACCTTCCGGAAAAAAGTAAATTTTTTCCCCTTGATATGGTGATTGCTGAAAGCTGTTTATAAACAAAATTTCATGAAAGCCGGACTTGCCGTTCGCGAGATTACCTGTTACAAAAAAGGGATTTTTCTTTATATAATTAGTATATGTAGATAGATAAGATAACATATTGCATGGAACCGAATTTGCCATAACTCGACTTTTGAGGCACCTATCGGGTCTATTTTTGGCAAGTTTATGTATTTATGTTTATGCACCGAATATATTTTCCGCTTTTGAAGCAAATCGGACCATAAATGCGATTGCTTAGCGTAGCTCTACTACTGTATCACCTATCCGAAAAATTAAAACTTTGTGCACTCCTCCTTCTAAACACCTTTCCAACAAAGCAACAACCATTCGAATCGGTTAAGAAACATAGAAGAAAATTGTTCCCAATTGATTCATGCTCACAATGAATTTCACAATCTGAAACTTTCCAAGCATGACAACGAATTCTCCACCTTTTCATCGTCCAAAATCATCAAATCATGCGACAAAATGCAAAATTTCGTCGAAAAAATATGAAATTTTTGCGTTCTGCCGGAATTCTCCGAGCTTTTAACTAAGAGTTTTCTATTTTTCTATTCAAAAAGCCATTCCGAAACAATTGCACACAAAATTCCATACAAAAAGTTTATTTTCAATTTTCCCGATTTTCCGACTTTTCCGGAGGGTTTTCCCAAAATTTTCTTTCGTACAAACCTTTTCTTGACAATTACGAACAACCAAAAAAAATTTGAGCCAAATCGGCCCAGCCGTTCTCAATTGATGAATTACTATACATTTTTCACACCATTTTTGTACAAATAGATAAGGAACAGCTGTTCGTAAACGGCGGTTTCCGACTGAATTTCAGTTTTTTTGCAAAAGTTAGCATACATATGGGGCATTTCACCTCAAGTGACCCAACTTTTGAAATCTATGCCTTCCGATCGGGATGAAATTTGCACCAAGGTTAGTCCTAAAAAATAGTAGTTATGACACAAAATTTCAATGGGATCGGTCAATTTTGACATTTTGGTCAAACGGCCATTTTTTCGGATCCATATAACTAATTACCTATTGTATTTAGAAAATTTGTTCAGGAA